TTTATGGATTTAATGGAAGTCTCATTAGAGACTTCCTAACCTCAAGGGACGGGAACGCTAGGTGCATCACACAAACTCTTTACATTGCCAACCTTTGACAATATAAAGAGTTAGGTCCCGAGGTTTTTCATCCAGACCCTTTGAGGGCCTGAAATTTTATAAGTTAATTTTATTTTTTTAAAATTCTTATTTATTTTATTGTCTATTATTTTAAGCCAATTTACTTCACATCAAAAAATTATGAAATAAACACTTCTTTATATAATCTAAATACATTTAGATAAATTATTGTTTTATTTAATTACTTACCTATGTAAATCTTTGATAAGATTTAAATTACAAAATATCCAAAATTTCAGTCAATTGTAGAATTTCACCAAACAATAAGAGAAATGCACTGCCTGAACCAAGACCAATCATCATCCAAAAAGCAAAATTATAAATTTTAACTGCAGCATCCTTCTAAATACTATTCAAAATTACAATAGATTAAAGTATGATATATTTTAATTGTTGGTAACTTCAAAATTATTAATATCCTTTAATTTTGAATTGATATATATTGATAATATTGGATTAATTATTGAATAATGAAATTCAATTTAAATTTCATAAATAGGAATAGATAAAACTTATTAGTTAATCCCAACTACTTCTTTAATGGTTACACTGTAATTTTTGGTTGCTAATTTAATGTGAATGCAATCAATAAAGTTTACCTTAGATTCAATTGTAGTTACTTAATTACTGAAAGATAATTCAGCATATTAGTTAGAATTTGTATGATTTAAATATGTTAACAAAATTTATGTTTTTTGAAAGCATATGCTTTGAAAGAATTAATTGTTACAATTCCAGTTATCTTCAATTAAACACATACTTGAAAATCTATCATCTCCAATATTATTCCCATTATTCCCATCATCACATAATTCATAATTATTTATTAAGTATACCATTGCCACATTAATCACCTACTTAGAATTTAATTTTCTATTCCTAAAAAACCAGTTGATTTTGTATTATTCTCGTCAATAAATTAATTAGTATTGTAATTATTTCAAATTTTTAAATTATCACATTTTTTACAAATATTACCTTATTCACAATTTATGCATCCAAATGAACATTGAAATTAACATTAATATTATCGTATGGATCATTATTTCCATCTTCACAATCCTCATATCCTTAAATAATAACACCATCTCCACAAATTGGCAAGTATTACTTATTTTTTAATTTAAAAATTCACTCACAATGTAAACAAGAATGCTAATCTTCACAATATAAACAATAAGACATGCACTCAATAGTAAGATTCTCATCCTCTTTTTTTTTTCTTTTTCTTTTTCTTTCTTCTTCCTCTTCTTCTTTACTTTCTTCCACTGTTTCTGATGATTATTCTATCATTTGCTGATAAATATGATAGCAAATATTCTATTATAAATCTGAACATTTTTACCAAATTTAGCACTCTTTTGAGCATAATCGTAAATCATTTCAAAAAACTTAAGTTTAAATAAAGTTTTTAACATCTTAGTCATCATCAATTCTTATAAAAATTTATTAATCAACTGATAATCTAGATGTAATATTGCATAAATAACAAATTCCAAATTAACATAAAAAGAAATTTTTTATACAAGAATATATACATAAATGACATCCATCATTAGGCGTTTAGTTTCCATCATCACATTATTCATAATTGATTATTTTTGAATCTCCACAAATTGGAATACAAATTCTTAAATATCTATTATATTCCCAACCCTCTTAACAATCCCAACATTCACCTTTAATACAATTACTACAACCTTCAACACAATCATATATATTTGAAAAACAACTATCAAAGGCTAATAAATTATAATCAGCACACATATTTTGAAAATAACTAGTACCTAAAAATAATTGAAAATCTCTTATTCCAAATTTAGAATTTTCATTCAATAAAACAGATATTTAAATTTATTAATTAATGTGTGTGTATTAATGAATTTTAATATTCTTCATTTGCATAAATACACATAATTCTTCAGCATGATTAATATTTATCCATCCATTAGAATATTCAGTCTAAAATACTATTACATCATCTATTTTGATAAAAACATTTATTGGATTTGAATTAAAGATTAAAACTTTTAATTAAAAACTTATAGCAGTATGCTAATCAAGCTTTAGGACTTTCATCAAATTTTTTCCTGAATTTACATTTCCATATTTCCAATCTATATAAAAAAATATAATTACCAAGACAACCATTTACACTAGTTTGAACCATTCCATCTTTTATCCAACCTTCAGAAGAACTGATAGATGAAATAGTTTTACTTACAAATTACTAAAAATACAAATATTCATCTAAAAATTGATCTTTATTACATGAATAACATCCAGTAGGACATTATTCAATTTATATTTCTAATTCAGAAATTCCCCAAATCCCTCTTTAAGCTAACATTACAATAAAAACTGTTGTGCTAGAATGATCAATTATTCCACTTATTGAATAGTATTCATCATTATAACTGGTGCTTCCACATAAATCTGATGGACTACTTGTATGTGAATATACTGCTCCATGTATTAATTTATTATCAATGTATACAGTAAAATATTTATTATCCCATTAATCAATTCTAATTTTATTTATAACTATTACCTCCAAAATTTAAAGGAGAGGAACAATAAATAGTGTGGATTAAGTTCAATTGTTTAATAAATTAAGAAATCATAATCATTCGGAGAGCATTAATTAACTTTTAAGATTGTTTAGCTGCCACAAGTACTAATTACTGAATCACAATTATTATTGTAATAAAAGGAGTTTAAATCTTTAATTTTATTAATTATTATTTACTATTTATTGAAGTGCTGCTAAAAAAGTTTTCATATATAATTGTTGATGCTTTGGCCAAATTCAAAATTTGTGATAACATTATAATTACTTTTAAGACATTTAAGTTAGATGCACTATATTTAAATTTGTTTTTGACATTAGTATGAAAAATACTCTCTATAACCATTATTTCTTCTGAATTTTATTTTTATAAATGAATTCTATAAAAATATTATTTTCGTTATATAATTGAATATATATATTTCATTAGATAGATTTTTATATCAATAAGAAATAAAAAACTACTATTACTATTCTTCTGTCTAAATCTNGAAAATAGGAATAATACCTAAGACAATAAGGGAGGGTGGGATGAATTTGGAGATTAAGCTTAAGAGACAAAGATGAGAAATAAATTTTAAAGAAGGAAATAACAATAAGAAAATATCTGATATCTATTTATTAAAATCATGTTACAAGATTTATAGCTTTATTATTCTATTATTATAAAAATAGCAAATCGAAATCCTAGATGTTGATAAACTTAAACTAGGCATTCATTTCAGTTCGACATTTGTAAATACTTTTCCTGATTTATTAAGCAACTATTTTAAGATTATTTAATTTAAATTATGATAATGGAATAAGTTGTGATTAATAATTTTGAAATTTCAAAACACTAATTTTCTCTATATGAGGTGCAACTCATTTAAAATATCAGAAATTATTTAATAATTATCTTCTTATGAATTTAACAAACAAAAAAATTTTCCAAACACTTAATACAGACTTTTATTATTTAAAGTTGTAGCGGATTAAAAAATCAATATTCTTAAAAATGTAAGAAATTAATATCTCTTGAAATAATGATTTAAATTCTTAAATTTTCCTTTTAGTGAAGGGTATTTAATGAGATAAATATCTAACTATGAAAATTTGGTTTTTCTTTTGCAGTGAAATATTGTCGTATAGAATATCAAGTGGCTATATTCTTACTAATAAATAAAAAAGTTCTTTGGAGCTTTAGCTTATTATTATTTAATATTTTAGTTGATGTTTTTGGGTATTCTATAATTGATACTTGCAATAGGAATTCAAAAATTTAATTAAAACTTTTTATCAATTATAAACTTTGTTGTGGTTTTCTATTTATAGACAGTAGAAAATTTTGAGAATTTTTTTTTTGACGTATCCTTTTCTGTTACACTTTAATTTATTTTGAAAGCCATTAAAATTTATCTTAAAGTAATTTAAAATAATCTCTAAAAAGAAGAAATATTTTTGTTAAAGAAGATTAACTATCCATTATACCTCAAAAGATATCTAAAATTAAAAACATTCATTCAATAGATTAACTTATCTTTATTTATATGCAAAGGATTAATATATATATAATCAAAAATTTAAGTAAAGAAGTTATCTATAAATCCTTAAATGAAAAATTTAAATTGATTAAAAACTTTTATAACCAATTTAAAAAGTAAATTTTGCTGATTTTTTTAATTAGTTCATTTAAAAAATGAAAACTTTGAATTGAGAATTTTAAGATTATGGAATTTTGTTTATTCCAAATTTTTTAAAGAATTTGAATATCTAAAAAAGAAAATTGATTAAGAGATGTCGAAAACACTTTATAAAAAAGGATGTTTAACTTCGATATATTAATTGAGAAAGTAAGACTTTAATTAGAATAATTTTTCCTATTTCATTGTGTAATAAGAATGAAATATAACAACTTATTGCTTTAAAGTTCTTTTTCATAATAACACTCGAAGTATGCTGATTTTTTAAGAAATCTAATTTTATAAGGATGGTTTAATGTTTATGCTATTTTATAATATTTTATTGCATAAAAGATTTAGTTCAATTTTGATAATGAAACTGCTAAAAGATAATAAACATTTAACCTTTGTTATAATAAGCATTAATCAGATTTGTATCAAGAGAAATGGCTTTATCAAAGCAAATTATTGCTTGCTCAAGTTATTGCAAATCTTATAAGATAAGACCTAAAATACTAAGTTAGAGATAAAACCTTTTACATTAAATGCATGGACAAAATTTGGATCTAATTGGATTGCTTGATTATAGTCATTTAATGCTTAGTCTTGGTCACCAATATTCTTATATTAATTGCCTAATATATTGAGTGTAATAGTTTTCACCTCTGTTATAATAGGCTATTGCAAAATTTGGATTGCTTGATTATAGTCACTTAATGCTTTATCATGGTCACCAATATCTTAATATAAATGGCCTTTTAAATTAAGTGTATTAGTTTTCACCTCTTCGATTATATGCTATAAAATCATTTGGATCAAGATGGATTGCTTTATTATAGTCATTTAATGCTTTATCCTTTTCACCAATTTTGTAATATAAATAGCTTATTATATTAAATTTAATTGTATTCACCTCTATTATTATAAGCCAAACGATATTTAGGATTAATATATAAAGCTTAATGGTAATCTCTAAGTGCTAAATCAATAATTTGTTCATCCAAATAATGCAAACCTTAAAATATACATTTTCTATTACCTCTACACATAAATGCATCATAACAGTTTTCATCTTTTTCTATAGCTTAATTGTAATATGAGAGTTCACAAACCGTTTATTTCAAATCTCCCATAATAGTACCTAAACATTTGTGTTTATCTCATTACCTATTCTATAATAACTCATCGCAAAGTTTGGATTAATCTAAACACACTTCATACAATCCAATAATGCTAGATCAACAATTTTTTTTCTCCAATAAATTGTTGCTTAAATTATCAGATCTAATTAATACCCCGTTAATAATAACTTTTAGCATTCATATTATTGATATATATGCTATAATTTACATCTTCCAATGCCTTATCATATAATTTCAACTTCTCATATAATTCACCTAAACTGATATTTAAAAGATCGAGCTTCTTAAAGTATAGGTTTAGGCAAATTGAGGACAAAGATTTAAAGCATTATTAATTTCTAATAATGCTTCTTCAATTTGATAAGTAATCTTAAACTCCTAAAAACGATTTCATTTAATAATTTTACCAATAATGAGCTAATGCACCATCATTCTAGTTTTCCTTTGAAGAATTGTTGCTCATTTTTGAGATGTATCCAAATTTTTTTAATAACATAATTAATAAATTTAGGGTATTCAAACCTGATTAATATCGAAAAAATTTTTATATTATAGCCTTATTTAACATTATTGAAACCTTTTGTTTGTATTACAAATATCTTTGGGAGTTAAATATCAAGTATTTGATAATTTTATATATTTAATCTTATTATTGAGGCTATGTGCAATAAATGAATTACTAAGATCTTATTAATAAATGAGAATGACTCCACAAAAATATCAATTTAAAAACAAGTGAGCTAATATTAAGATGATGAATCGCAACTAGGGTTAATATTCTTTATTTCCTTATTAAAGAGACATAATTCAGTTAATATTCTTAATTTGAGTATTTTTCTTATCAATCCTAGCAGTTATAAAATTTGTTCCAAAGAGTTTTTATTGCAGATTTCTAATATTTTTATCTTTATACTTTATATCAAGATCAATAGACAATCAAATATCTATTGCTGAGACTTTATGCAAAATAAGCCTATTGTAATAACGGGCATTAATTCTTTTAAGATGATTGGCTAACTCTAAAGTCGATAAAGAGTTTAGTTCTAAAATTAAATATAACAAATGTACTAATAAATTAGAAGTTATTTTTTTTAGAATTAAGCTCATAAATGAAGAACTAGATAGCTAGGTAGATTGTAGTTAATTAAATATGAAAATTAACAACTTAATAACTTATTTTACATTTTTTGTGATTGTATTTTGGACCAACAAAATACAAGTCTGTTGTGATTAATATTACTAGGGTAAGAGTTTATAAGTGTAAAAAAAGTTTTCTTAATAATTGGCTGATAATAAATAGAAGAATGAGGATAACATGAGTAAGCTTAGATTGATACCTCTGCAAATTGAGTTATGTATATATTGAATATAAGAGATGATTTTATTGAAGTATTGTGTATCAGACTAAGATGCTATTATTTTATATGGTATATAAGAAGATAATAAGAGAGTATATCATTAATCGGAGATACTAAGGTATGTTATTAAAGAGGATAATTTTTTAAATTAAATATTTATTATTATAATAATTGAGCCCCCCTAGCGCATAAGTAAAGGGCAAGCGTAGCAGACACCCACCTTTTTGTTTTTTTTATCTTCATTTTTTCCCTTTACATCTAATTTCCTTTGATGATGATTGTTTTTATATTATTATTT